TTCTCATCGCCGTCGTGACAAAGGAGGAATGTGATCTTGTTTTCGCCGTCAGAGAGAAACCTAATCTCACTTTTGAATATAGATAAGGTTATTTGAGTCATTTACATATTAATCATTGAGGTATTTATGAAAATGACCTTCAACCGAAGGTAATATTGAATTGTGGTACAGCAAAAATGGTATTTTTGCAATTGTCCCATTTAAATTTTATTTTTAGTTATAAGAAAATCAGTTGAGAAAAAATCTAACAAAATCTTACTAAAAGTTCAAATACATTTTTTTATAAAATAACACAATAATTAATTTCGTAATTATAATATAATACTATTATACATTAATATTAATTAAAATTTTACTATAAAAATTAAAAATTCTATCATATTTTATAAATTTTATATTATAGTCTATATTATATCAAAATAGAAGTATGAAATGAATTAAATAAAATTGATAAATTTGGTAATAAGAATAAGAATACGAATATTGAATAAGAATATTCTATAAATAATTTTGGTAATGAATTACTATAAATATACAATTTTGAATAAAGTATTCTCTCAAATTGGAAAAAAAAAAATCCAAATTATAAAAGATAAAATTATGGGAGAATTTCAATTATACCACTTTGGTGGTACCACTTTTCATGTTTACCATCAATAAAGGAACATTTTAAAAAATACACATTTTATTAAAAGATAAAAGACTCTTATATCTTTGTTCTTTATATATATATATATATATATATATATATAAAATAAATATTAAATAAAATATTAACCATAAACTCTAAAACATCAATTCTAAACTCTAGACCCTAAAAAGTAAACCCTAAACCCTAAAAATTAACCCTAAACCCTAAAATATCAATTCTAAACCTTAAACCTTAAACTCTAAACCCTAAAAAGTAAACCCTAAGCCCTAAAAAATCAACACTAAACCCTAAACTATCAATCCTAAACCCAAAACCCTAAACCCTAAATTCTAATAGTATTTTGACTATTAAAATTTTAATGGTAAAGTGATGTAGCGGAAGCTTCTAGGATAGAAATAGTGATCCGTTGATTCTGAGAATACCCGGAAAACTATGATAATCACAAAGATCTTATTTAGTCTAAGAATACCTAAGATCAGTGTCTTCTTAAATTCGTTGAGATCACCTATGATCTACCGAAAACAAGGAATAAAGAGAAATCTCTTAACTTTTATTAATCATCAAAAACTGTATACAACTCTTAAGCCTAAACGGCTATATATAACAAAATCATAAAACCCTAAAACATTAATTATAATTATCTAAATAAATAATAAAATAAATAATAAGATATTAAGAATATTTCCTAAATATTCTCTCTACATCATAAAGTTGGTTAGTGTAAAATTGAAAACTGGTATCTTGAAAGTGTTATTTCTGGCAATTTCCCTAAAATTATAGATGATAAAATGTATTTTTTTAAAAATGAAACACGAAAAACAAATACTATTTAAAAAACAAAAGTAGTGTAATATTTTGAAATATTTATTTAATAAAAAAAATCAGAGAACTTAATACCATAGCATCCAAATTTTTTATATTGATATAAATTACTAAAATAATATCATAGATGCTATTATATATAAAATTTATCAAAATAATATGGCTAAATTAGTTAAGAAAATAATAAATATATTTCTAAAAGTTGAAATATACTAAAATGATATATGTTATTTAAACATAAAATGAAAATATCAATTAGCCTACATAAATATTCTTTTATAATAGCTAAATAAAATCTAAAAAAGTGTTTTAAATGCAACTTATAGAATTTTATTAAAAACTTATTCTAAAGGAGATTTTCTATTTGGTTGTTTCAAATTATGAATTTATTTTACTTATTCGAAAATAAATTAGCATGTATAAAAAACATTAGATATTAATAATGTTGAATAAAAAAGTAATAAATTAAAAAACAATTATATATTAATAATGGTTAATAAAAAATTAGATGATAAGATTACAAAATTAAAAAATATAAAAAACAATTAATATATATTTTAAATATTGACATTAATATTAAATATATATTCCAAAAATGAAAAAATATACTCGCACGAACGTGCGGGTCAAATCTCTAGTTTTTAATTATAGTACGCCTAACAATGAAATATATTACTATTAATCTAAGTATTAACTATTAAATATCCATTTGATCTATTTATATCTTCTCTATTAAAAGAGAAGTACCAAATTTATCTACTATTTAGAAGTCATGTTGGATCATGTCATTAATTATTTAATTTGAGATATTTGATTGTTACATTAATCAGTTAAATATATATTATTTTAAAAATATCTTAATAGTTAATAAGGATACTAATAATAAATAAATTTAAATATAACAAAATCTGTTGAAAAATTCTAACAAGATCTTACCAAAAAAAATTAATTTTTTATAAAATAAGTATTTATTTATTTTGTGATTAGATATATTTATAATTAAAACTAAAATATAACTCATACATTTAAAAATTTTAGTTATATATTTATAAAATGAAAAATATACCCGCACGGATGTGCGGGTGAAACTCTAGTGTTAATGTATATTAAGTGCATTAGGCTATTATAGACCCCAAACTGGATTTATATTAGTGAAATTATATGAACAATAAACTATTTGAGTGCCCAATATAATATTAGATAAAACATGGAAAATTTAAATATAAACTTGACCGACGCAATATATTTATACAAAGATCCAGTAGTGTTTTTTAAGTAATCCTAACTGATTCAACACACATCCAATAAAAAAAATATATAAAATGATACAATAATGGTGGTGTCAACAAACTAAATAGTGTAATTAAGTGCAACCATTAAATTGTTTCTTTTCAAAAAAAAGAAAAAAAAATAAATATATATATATATATATATATATATATATATCGTAAAACATGAAGTTTTACAGCCATAAAATTTTAGAAAATGAAAGTTAAATTTTTTTTTTTTTTATAAATGGTACAATTTATCAAAGAATCAAAAATTTGTTCTTCATTTCTACTGTCACCATTCAAACCCATATTCTGACAAGGAATATATGACTAAACAGATACAATAAACTATATATTTGACTAACTCTACGTTACAAATGTTATTATATTTGAAACTTTATAACGTAACTAAATATTAACTGGAGGATGATAGTATTATTTTGACCAGAAAGTGTAGTCAAGTATTTTTCCTGGGTGATCGATCGGTAGTTCTCGAACAAGTCCAGAATCTCCATGGCAATGTTTTTCACCTGCAAGGTTTAAATGACAATGGTAACAAAACCACATAAACCAACAGCTTATAGCTGGACATTAACTTGAATAAATGCAAGTATGACTGACCAAGTTCATGTCCTCGTGAAGATCTTCAAACCATGCAGTAATATCTTTATGTCTGTGGACACTTGCTATGTATATGCACGCTAGCGCTATGCGGTAAGGAGGGCGAGGATCGAGTCATTCTCATCAACGAGGACGAGACGGGCAGCTACAACACGACGTTTCTATGTTCCGCAGAGGAAGGAGGAGAGATGGAGGTTCAGTTTTTCCGGCGGCTTGATGGAGAGTTCAACAAGGTTTTGAGATTTTATAAGCAGAAAGTGGAGAGCGTGATGGAGGAAGCCGATGAGCTTAGTAGACAATTAAACGTTTTGATTGCTCTCAGAGTTAAGGTTGAGAATCCAAATGTTGACTTCCCCGACATTAGTAGTATCTCGAGTGCTCCTTCTTCTCCACACAACAGGACTCCAGGTTTAGCTCCATTTATTTCATTTTAACTCCCAAGAGACCAATACATTTTTGTAGATATACCAGAGGGGCCGGTCCGGAACATAGGCAAATGAACCGGTTGCTTAGTGCATCACGATTTTTTGCAACAATTTAAGTTGTATAAAAATGTGTATGAAAAATAATGGCACAATTTATTTGAGGTTAGGGGGATTACAAAATTTTTTTAACGTTTAATCTTTTAGTTATATTTCAAACACATCCAAATCAAATTTTTTGAAGTGTTTTGTAGATATTCCAGGATTAAACTTTGTCCATCTGAGTGATGTTTTAATCTGCATTAAGTGATTATCCTAATGTTAAGCTCATGTGTAATCTGTGTGAATGTTTTATATATATAGCCATTTCCCCAATGGAAGTGATCAAAGAAATGGAACAAGTAGAAGATAAGAAAGTCTTTAAACCTGCTCCAGTAGAAATTCTGGATCATATAAAGCTCAAGATCGAACCGGAGACTCCATTGTCAATGCTTAAGTGCATGATCATGGGTCTCTCAACTGAGCAAACCTTCAGCAAACCAGAGCTTAAAAGAGCCGAGGAGCTTATGGACCGCGCTTTTGTTGAGTTCTACCAGAAACTTAGGTTCCTAAAGAGTTATTGGTAAGAATTGTAATTCTTTAGATCTTTTGTTTCTCTACAAAACTGTTTCTCCTAATCTATCTAGCTAAGTTTGCAGCTTCTTGAATCAGTTGGCGTTTTCAAAGATACTAAAGAAGTATGACAAGGTTTGTAATCTTATCATGTTTGTTTTGCATGTGTTATTGTTGTGGTTTGATACTGATATCTTTGTAATGTTTCACAGACTACTTCGAGAAATGCGTCTAAGCCTTATCTACATAAAGTGGATCATTCTTATTTAGGAAGCTGCGATGAGGTTAATACAAGTAACCAATCTCTTGTTAAATGTTACTAAAAAAAACAAGACTTATCTTTACATTTTTAGGTCTCAAGGGTCATGTCAAGAGTGGAAGCTACGTTTATTAAGCATTTCGCCCATGGAAACCACCGTGAAGGAATGAAATGTTTAAGGACTAAAGCTAAGAGGGAGAAACACAGAATCACATACTTCCTCGGTACTTAAAATCCTTTTTTTCCTAACCTATGAAATGACTAAACCTAATGTTCTTTCTAGTAGATTAAAACATCATCTTCATATACAGGTTTCTTTTCTGGTTGCACCGTAGCTCTAGCCATTGCTATAACGGTTCTTGTACATATAAGAGGCATAACAAAAAGTGAAGGAAGGCATCAATACATGGAGAACATCTTCCCTCTTTACAGGTTCTTGATAACGTTACATTCATCATCCTGAACAGAGAGGAACTCCATTATCTAATGCTTGTTATTTCCGCAGCAGGTTCGGGTTCGGTGCGGTTCATTTGTTTATGTATGCAGGAGACATATATTTCTGAGTCGATATAGAGTAAACTACCCCTTTATCTTCGGGTTTGACCAAGGGACTGATCTTGGTTACAGAGAAGTTCTTCTTCTAGCCTCTGGTCTAGCAGTTCTAACATTCGGAGGAGTCATCTCGAATCTTGACATGGAGATGGATCCGAGAACCAAAGAGTTTAGTGTCATCACTGAGCTTGTTCCTTTAGGTCTTCTCATGGTAAGTTCTTTAGGTCATTGATATATTGATCTCTAACAAATAACAATGTATCCTCATTGTTAGTTGTGAAATGTTTATGTTTTTGCTTATGATCGCAGTGCTTCATGATTACGCTGTTTTGTCCACTCAATATAATATATCGGTCAAGCAGATATTTCTTCATCGGGTGCGCCTTCCGTTGTCTTTTAAGCCCACTATACAAGGTAACGTGATATCAAAGTAATCTCTGTTTCTATTAAGCCTACAATAGAAGGTAACTTGCAAGACAAGAATTTATTCTAAAGATGTTACATATGGTTTATGAGTTTGTTTTCTATTGCTAGGTTATTCTCCCGGATTTCTTTCTCGCAGATCAGTTGACTACTCAGGTAACGAGTTGCTTGGTTTAGAATTCAGCTACCAAGTTTGTGTTTTCATCGGAACATCATTAGGTTTTGGTTTCGGAGGTGCAAACATTCAGAAGCTTGTTGTTTTATGTATGTTATTATGGTTGGGGAGGAGATTTCAAGAAAAGAACACACACATGCTATGAGAGTGAAATTTACAAAGAACTCTATCTTGTTGTTGCCATCATTCCTTATTGGTTCCGCTTTGCTCAGGTACTAAGTACATACTTAAATATATATTGTCAGTGAACATATTCAACTAAGTACATACTTAAATATATTTATGTTAATCTTAATAAAAAATATTTCGATTTATGTATAATAACGTTTTAAATCGGGGGCCAAAGCGAATGTTTAATCTGGCTCTGCCTAGAACCGGTCTTGAAGTAAAGTAATCAATGTTTACATCCTTTCAAAATGTTTCAAACTTTCTTTTGTTTGGTTGCAGTGTATAAGGAGGTTGGTTGCGGAAAAAGACAAAATGAATGGCCTTAACGCACTAAAGTATCTCTCGACCATATTAGCGGTTGCGGCTAGAACAATCTTTGAAACAAAGAGAGGGACCTACTGGCTTACGGTGGCTGTAACCACGTCAACCATTGCCACATTGTTCAATACTTATTGGGACATATTCAGGGATTGGGGTCTAATGAACCGCAACTCCAAAAACCCTTGGCTTCGTGACAAACTCTTAATCCCTTACAAAAGCATATACTTCATTGCCATGGTAAAAAACAAGCACATAAGCTTTTCTTTCCGTTTAATATTATTATTATTTTTTTGGTCTAAGTTTAATATTATTATTTATTAATTGAGATATTGTAAAATGAAGGTGGTAAATGTGGTGCTGAGGCTGGCTTGGATGCAGACAGTTCTTGGGATTAGAGAAGCTCCATTTTTGCACAGAAGAGCTTTGGTTGCTGTTGTTACCATTTTAGAGATTCTTCGTCGTGGCATTTGGAACTTCTTCAGGTTCTATTTCTACTCAAAACCACATTTCAGAAGTTTCGGAAAAAAGAGATCATAAGATGAACTGTTTGTGTTCTAATTTTGTGTGTATGCAAATCAGGTTGGAGAATGAGCATTTGAACAATGTGGGGAAATACAGAGCCTTCAAGTCTGTACCTTTGCCTTTTCAAGAAGTTGGAGGAAGCAAGAGCATGTAAATTTTACATATAATGTTGGACTAATCGCAGCAAAATGTGTGTATTAATTTTTTTATTGTTGTTTCGTATGAAAATTGATTCATCCCAATTTTCCAGCAACTATAAATTACTTTTTTGGTCTTTGTTAGCATTAGCAGATGTGTACACAAAAACTGTATTAAAAGGTTTAATAATATAAACAGATCATGGGACAAAACTATTAAAATGCGAAAAAAATGTTATTTTAAGATAGTTAAAAAAAAATTTATTGAGTTTTTAATTGAGCTTTATAACTATACATATTTACGAACTATGAGATAGTTGTTTATAAGCTTTTATATATACACATTTAAAAAATTTAAATGGTTCATACGATATTTTAAGAGCTTATATAGTTTCATAAAACATTCTTATACTTTTGACATTAATTTTCTTAATAGAATTTTCAAGAGACAAAAAAATTAAAGAAATTTCGGAGCATATCTATACTATTATTTGAGAAAAATTTGCTTAGTTGTCATATTCTCCATAAGTTTAGGTAATTTTGTTTATTCATCATATTTTTAATATTTATATGTAATTTATTTATAAATAAAACGTATTTATATGAATATATCATATTTTTAAAAAAATAAGATAATTCTTGTGAATTATGTTGTTATCTTAAAATATATTTTATATATGAAACTTAAATTTTAAATTAAGATAGAAAACTTATTATATTTATTATATAACAAAAAAAAATTGTACTAATAATTTTATATTTTTATAAAATAAGACAATTTTTTTATTTATCATATTTTAATATTTATATATAAATAAACGAATAAGAATATATCATATTTTAAGAAAATAAGACAATTCTTGTGAATTATGTTCTTATCTTGAAATATATATTATATATAAAAATTAAATTTAAATTAAGATAAAAATTATTATATTTATTATATAACTAAAACAAATTTATATTAATAATTTTATATCTTTATAAAATAAGATAATTTTTATGTATTATGTTGTTATGTTAAAAATATATTAAATTATTATATTTATTATATAACTAAAACAACTTTATATTAATAATTTTATATCTTTATAAAATAAGATATTTTTTATGTATTATGTTGTTATGCTGAAAATATATTTTCGTATTATAAAACTTAAAATTAAGATAGACAAATTATATCATTAAAATTTAATATAAATCATCAAAACAATTATTTGAAAAGTGAATTTGTTGATTTGTCTCCATGATCCTAGGTAATTTTGATTATTTATCAGAATTTCTCTAATTTTGCTTATTACTGATTATATAATTAAAACTAACTTATATTAATAATATGATATTTTATAAAATAAGTTAATTCTTATGTATTATTTTTGTATCTTAAAAATTTAATTTTATATTATAAAATTTAAATTAACAAGTAGAAAATCTATACTATTATTTAAGAAGTGAATTTGATGTTTGATGATTTGTCATATTTTCCATGATTTTAGGTAATTTTAATAATTTATAACAATTTCTATAATTTTATATATAATTTCTTATATATTTAAGACAAATTTATATTAATAGTATCATATTTTTCTAGAAAATAAGATACTTCTTATGTAAATATTTCTATAAATTTTGGTTATATAAAAATATTATAAATAATAAAATTAATAATATATGTACTTCAAGATATTTTAATCAAAACTAAATTAAAAAAAATTCTATAAATTCTAATTTTTAAAAATTATTCCTTTTTAACTGGATTTGATTAAAAATATTAAAATATATAAATTTAGTAAAATATATATTTTAATAGTCACAATTATATTTTTAAAATTAATGTAATAAAAATTTAAATAAATTAATTTTTCTAAGTTAGGATTATTTTGTTCACATAAACTTTACATGTTTAAAATATTTTATTCATTTATTTTTATATTTTATGAACTACCTTGTACTACCTTGAATTACCTTGGAATACCTTGGAACTACTATGTATTAGGCGTATTTTCTAAGAATCTTACTTTTCGTCTTAATAATTATTTTTAGAAGATGTATCTCATATACTACGAGATTATATATACATATTTGTGTTTATTTGTCAAATTAGACATAAAGAAACTTTTAATTTCTCAAGTTGATAAAAAACTTCTCATTTCCATAGAAAACATCTTTATACTTCTATACTAACATCTTGATGGAAAGACCATAATGACATGAAAAATAGAAAATACATATTTTCTGAGTTTTTTCCCACCATTGTGTTATATACAATGTAAAACTATCTAAATACATTGGTATTACTAATAAATTTGATTTTTAATGTGGTATTACTAAAAATTGCTGAAATTAGGAAAAATATTACTATGATGAATGAAATATTACTACAACCTTGAGTACTACTAAGTGTAAATATTCAAACAAGTGTTCTCTCTTTTTTTATAAAATGTAGTAGTACAATTTTTTCTAGACATAGCTTACCTTAATAACATGTGTTAAATATATTATAAACGTTTTAGACATATTTGAAACTTTTTTTATTTATCTTAGTAATACCTAGTAAAACTAGTAGTTCAAATACAATACTAGTTTATGGTATATATGTTTAAAATGTATGATTTTTATTTTCACTTCACTTAGTTATAAATATAATACTAGTTTATGGTATATATGTTTAAAATGTATGATTTATAATTAAAAATTATAAAAATATAAATTCTTAAAGAAAAACTCGCGATCTATACGACCAACAAAAGAATTTTTTTGTTGCTAATATCTAATTCAAACCTTAACAAATGATAAAATTCGATTAGATTTTTTCTATGTTCAAAACTTTGCTAGGAGTTAATGAAAAATTAAATTTTTGAAGATTAATCGAGGACTAATAATAGGGTTTTATTTTATTTTTAAAATAACGTATATATGAAACGTAATTATATAAATTGACCAAAGAGATAACACGTGGTCTGGTGGTATGTTCCTAGCTTGTTATCTTGCCAGCCCTGGGTTTAATTTTTCATTTTGTTGGTTTGGCTTATTTTATTTTCAAATAAAAGTGTATAGAAAATTTAGTTTATGCAAATATCACAAAGTATCTTGCAGTCTGGTGGTATTCTCCTTGTTTCTAATCAAAGAAGCCCCCGGGTTCGATTCTAGGATTATTTTTTTCTTTCTATATTATTAAGAATGGCAGTTTCGTAATTATCTCTTCTTCTTCCTATTAGGGTTTTGTCGATTCTGTGATTTTTTCCTGCGGTCGCCATGGATTTTCTTCAACGGATCTTCAATTTTTATGGGTTTTTTTAATTAATGTTTACACCTTACAACTATCTTTATCAATACTCATCGATTTTGACTTTCAAATAGCGAAAACAAACATTTTTTTGTTATACTCCATGGCAGGAGTTATATAGAACAGAGAGGAAACACGAATTCATGGGTTTTTATCACCGGTGAAACATCTCACAGTAAGAGAGAAGTGATTCAGAGTTAATTTTGAATAGGAAAACAAAGCATTTTTTTTTTTCTGTCGATTAGGATTGCAGCAAAAAAAAAAAAGGGAAAATGTAAGGATCGGGGAATTGTAATTTTGACTAAAGGGAAAAAGTAAATACTTGGAACAGATTAGAGGGTTTAGGTTAGGTTTGGTTGTAGTTTTGTAGATTCATCAAGGGTAGTTTTGTATTTACGTACATTTCTGTAATTAAAAGAAAAAGAAAATTAAATAATTTATTAGAAGGGACAAATTAGAGCACCATTAACCGGGTGGCTTAAGGGGTTGCTTAAACTTTTAAGAATTAAAAAAAATATAAAAAATAATGTAATTATGGAAGACACGACGCTTAATCAAGCATCACAAACACCGTGGCTTATGAGACACGTGTCGGTCATGGAGCTCTCCGTGTCTCTTTCTCTCTCGCTCTCGCCTCTGTCTCGTGTTCTCTCTCAAAACAATCGACGGTGACCTCTCGTCGATCTTGTCCTTGTCGGAACCAGTTGATGATGTCTTTCGACGGAATCAATCTGCGTGTCCTTGGCTCTCCTCAACGCCTCCTTGATCTCTCCTCGAAGATGAAAGCTAATGAGCATTCATCAATCCTTTCTTCGTCGCATGTGTATTAGCAGTCCCCGAGTTAAGATTCTTTTCAGTTGCTAAGCCCAGTAGAAGATTGAGATTGGGATTACAAAAGAATATGACTTGGAGTGTTTGCAGGGATCAGAGCAGTTCATCCCGAAACTGAAGCCCATGCACAAGAAGCTATAGAAGCAATCAAATCCGAGAAAGTTATCGCTGTGCCAACAGATACTCTGTATGGATTCTCCTGTGATGCTTGGTAATATAAACAAAATCTTCACTAGTTAGCTGACTAAGCTTTACAATTTAGCAAACTAAATTGTTGTTTGTCTAACATAAAACAATTCTTTTGAAGCGGTGAACCTGATATATGAGATCAAAGGCCGGAAGCTTACAATGCCCTTTAGCCATCTGCGTTGGAGATGTATCAGATATTGAGAGAGTTGCTACCACAAATCACATACCTCACGGTTTACTCCACTCGCTCTTGCCTGGTCCAGTCACTCTTGTCCTTCAACGAGGTTTGTATCTTTTTCTTAACATGGTTGGATTAATTAATATGATCTCTTGATGTGAGAGTGTTCTTGTCGGGTTTTTTAAATAGGTGAGTCAAGCATTCTTGAAAGATCATTAAAACCTGGGATTGATACCATTGGAGTAAGGGTTCCAGATTGTGATGAAGTATCCAGAGGTTTGGGCAGTGTATTGGCTCTTACAATTGCTAATCTAAAAGGTGATAGAAGCAGCGTTTGCGTGAATGATTTTGAAAGTCTTTGGCAATATTGTGCTTATGTCTATGATGGTGGTTTGGTTCCATCAGGGCGTCAAGGACCAACAATAGTTGATTTGAGTAAAGTAGGAAAGTAAAAGGTCATTAGACCTGGAAGGTATGTGATCATGGATTCAAAGTTTGAATCTTTGTGGGGTTCTTGAGCTAATATACGTGTAAAATTGGGTATGTTTTTGTTGTTAAATTCAGCGCAGAGCAAGCAACAGTAGCAATTCTTGAGAAGTATTTGGAAGAATGTTAAGAGAAGGAAGCTGGTTATAAACTCTGAATCTGACTTTGAAGAATTTGAAGGTTTTGCTTTGGTTCTTACTCTGTTTTTGGTATTGGTTTAATTCAACAAATGTGACCAAAAACACAATCTTAATTCTTATAATTAGGTTTTTAATATGAATCAAATAAGATGATAAAGAAATGAATGTATAAAATTGTTTTGATATATTAAATTGGACACTGATCGATGCATCTATGTTAAGAACTTGATGCTCTGATGGAAGAGATGAATGGTTTTATTCATGCAAATCATTTTATCTCATTGAATAACATGTGTGTATCGAAAAAACGTTTGATCAAAAAAATATATTAAACATCACATTGATGTCTCTCTGCAAAGAATTTGATGCTCTGATGGAGAAGGATGAGACAGATATGATGGACACATGACCCTTTTGTATTGGAACATTTGATCTCGTTTGATAGAATGTGTGTATGAAATATCAATAGCATAGGTTTGATAAAAGTAATTGTTTATACTTAAATTTTGGTTGATATAAACCGGTGGGTATTGAAAATTATGCCGTGGAAGGGTAATATAAGTTATGCATTTTGGTTATATATAAAAAGTTAGGCTAAAAATGAATAGGTTTAATAGGCCCATGTAAGTAGGTTTTTTGAGAATGTTTCTTTTTTAATAGTATAGCTTCCATTTTTCTTCATGTAATACATTTATTGCTTTTTATCCCACTAATTCTATTATAGGGTTACCATTTACCATTTTTCAAAAAGAAAAAATTTATGAGTATAAGCAAATTAACATATCTAAAATGTTAAACATTCCATATTTGATAAGAAACGTACCCAGCATCACATACTCAGCAAGGAAATATCAATATTCAGTATTGAATGTGCAGACACGGTTTTAAGACGTCTTTCCTAATTTGATATTAATAGTTAATGACTTGTTGACAAAAAAAAAAGTTAATGCCCGGACTCTAATATTCTGCAATCTTGTCCAAATTTCAGCTAATTCCCATAATTAATTCCCTTAAACGATCACATTAACGTTTCATATTCTTCTATAAATAATCATTCTTCATTCACAGTATTATTGTAAATCAAGTCGGAGAAAATAAAATACAGAAACAACCATGAATCGATCAATGTCTTTTGTCTTGTTACTAGCGATTCTTATCTCTGTGGCTGACGCTGCATGGGAAGATGCTCACGCTACGTTTTACGGCGACATTAGCGGCAAAGAAACCATGCGTTAGTATCTTTATATCATTACTGATTAGTACTATATATCTTTTTTTAACTTCAATATAAGTATCTATAGTTAGTAATATATATGTAGACTATAAATCTAGTAAATCATTGGATTTTTAGTTTATAGTATAATCGTATCCAATATTTTTAATGTTTTTGTGTGACAGAAGGAGCATGTGGTTATGGAGACCTATTCCAACAAGGCTATGGCTTAGAAACGGCGGCGCTAAGCACGGCGCTCTTTAACAACGGCCAGACATGCGGTGCTTGTTTTGAGATCACGTGTGTGAACTCACAATGGTGCAAACCAAACACCGGTCCGATCATAATCACAGCTACCAACTTCTGCCCACCCAACTACACCCCACCGGTCGATATCCACTGGTGCAACCCTCCTAACAAGCACTTCGATCTATCCATGAAGATGTTCACTTCCATCGCCGAGTACAAAAGTGGGATCGTTCCTGTGAAGTTCAGGAGAGTCAAGTGTCAGAAGAGTGGTGGTGTGAGGTTTGAGATTAAGGGAAACCCTAATTTCATTATGGTTTTGGTGTATAACGTTGGTGGAGCGGGAGATGTGAATAGCGTGGCTATTAAAGGGCATAAGAGTAGTTGGATCTCTATGCAGAGGAACTGGGGACAGAACTGGAATACTGGTGTGGATTTGGTTGGACAAAGGCTCTCGTTTTCGGTGAAGACCAGTGATGGTAGGATCTTGACGTTCTATGATGTTGCGTCGGAGTCTTGGGGGTTCGGTCAAACTTTTGAAGCGAAATCAAACTTTTAATAGATTGTGTTTTAATTGCTTTTTTTCAGATTATTTTAGTTTCTTGAGTTTTTGTTGGAAGCTATTATTTCGTAGTACTATAATAAAGACATTAGTTTCATAAAATATAATTTTGTTTAAGTTCAAAAATAATCCACAATGATATTGTTTTTATTGATGAATGAATTATTAGCAGGTTTGGCCCTATGGAAGAGCAATACCAATGGTACACTCACTGCCCTCTATTTTTTTATAAGTTAATATACACAAGTATTATAATCTTAAAATTTCATTGTTAAGATAAAGGTTTTGTTAAGAAATCAACATTTTTATTCAACTTTAAGCTAGATACATTATTGTTATATATAGCAGAAAAGAGATCGCATAGACCTTTTAATCAGATTATCAGATAATAGTTTTTAACTATCTACTTCTACAAGATAAATCCTAAAACTTGTAACGCAAGTAGAGGCTTTCCATATTATGTTAATCTCGTGCTGCATCCCAAGATCCTATGATACCTCCTAACCTCGTGACCTCTTCTTCAGAAGCATACCATTTGGGTATAATCTTCGATGCGTAAGGGTACATATCCCTAGCTGAGCTCTTGATTGTATTCTCCACTACTTCCGTAGCCATCGCAATATCTACAAAAAAAAAAAACAAGAATTATGAGTAACGAGCCACAACTTGTAGCGTAAGTTACCTAGTTTTTTTTTTTAAAGTAAGGAACCAAAGAAGAATTGTTTTAATTACCTCGAATAGGATTCCTTTTGGTCTTAGATAGCTGGCTGATCATGAAGATAATAGTAGCAAGAACCGACTTAGGGTTTCTCCGGATATCGAAATTATCAGCTATCTCAACAGCTTCTCGTATAGCCTTTGTCTCTCTCTCAGTTATGTCTAGTTTAGAACAGAACCTGCGAACTAGTTCTCCTGTCTTGATAATCACCTGAGGAGGAGGAGCAGCACAAGGAGAAGAAGAAGAAGAAGCTGTCTCCCCTTGATCTGATGACTCGAGTAAACGCCTTATAGCCATACTCGCTTTGTTTATATCTTTCAAACTCACACCGTGAGCCACCGTGGAGATCTCTTTCAACGTCCTCGAGAGATTCATCTCACGACAAGCCGTTGAAACAGCAGCCGCACAGACAGCGGTTAAGTGTTTACGTCTGCTCAACCTCTTGCTGTTGTCACCATTGAACTTTGAGACAATCTCGCAAGCCCTAAACTCGACGCCACTAACTAGGTTTAGACCATCCGTCATCTTCTTGATTTCTTGGCACGCTTTCACGATCATATCCTCCTCAGAGTTTCTGATCACGAGGTTCTGTGTTCGAGTCACTATCAAGTCATTGTTCTTGGAGGTGGTGGTGGTTTTATCGATGATGGTGCCTATGCCTCCGGATTTGAGAAGAGGGTTGGTGGCAGCACCGACACGGTTAGGGTCTCGGTCACAGTTATCATCGTTGGCGAACGTTCTCCATTCTTGGCTGTCGTCGATGTAGTGATCGGAGATGACGAGGCTACACTCTGTGCAGATTGTGTCGCCGGTTCTTATGTCGGTGACCGTTTCGGTGACTCTCTTGCAGTCCAAGCAAGTGTCCATGATTTCTCTCAGGTGTTTAAGGGTTAGTGATTGTTTTGTTGTTGTTGTGTGATGGATTGATACTTGAATTGATAGAAGTTGGAGTTGTTTTTATAGAAGATTGTGACGGATGAGAAAAGGCTCAATGTAAACCTCCTTTTCCTAGGAGGATTTTGATGTTTGTTTTACAAGTTTACTATTAGTAAAGGAAATTTTTCTTTTTCTAGATTCACACCGTCACATTGATTTATTATGCATCTTTTGTTTAAAATAATACTATATATTTTGGCATGTATATTAAATATATAATATTTATCCAATAAAAGCAAACTTTTAATAAAAAAATATCAAAATGTTTTTTTATTGGCGAATTTTCACTTTTTTTTTGTGTCACTGAAATACTTCATTAATAAAAGATAGAGAATGAATTCAAAGACAGGGTCAAACAAAGTTTTACTACGAAGACAGATGGGCTTGAAGAACCCTCTTAGCTAAGCCATCTGCGATAAGATTGTCGGAACGAGATAGATGCGAGAAAGAGATGTTTGCAACTCAGAGGAGATCAATCGGATGTCTTCCATAATATCGATGATCTCTTTTGATTGTGTGTTGCCGTTGAGTAGACTGCGAATTTTCACCTCTGATTTTTCCATTAGTCATATTCATGAGATATCCATTAGCCATTTTTTTATATTAGTTGATTTTTTTAGAAAAGAAAATTAAACGGTTTAATCATTCACATTAAAATATTAAGTTTTTACGTATGCTTAGTCTTTAACTCTAGGGTTGGATATTTTATCGGTTAAATTTGATTTGATTCGTTATTTGTTTTGATTCGATCCGAAAAATCAGAATATCCGTAAGTCAACGAAGCAAAACAAATATTAAAATTCAATATCCTTTAAAAACAAAACAAATACTAAAAAATTAGAGTCAGATATCCGACCCGCTTCGACTTTTATACAAATAGATGTATATATATAATAAATATAGATGCTAAATGTATAATTTGATATATTTATTATTTTAACATATATTTTTATTAAATTATTTATAAAATTACTTATACATGTATTAACTAAGAAAAGAATATCAAATCATTATAAACATTACATTTTTTCTAAAATTACGTTTTCTTACAAAAAATTGATTAACTTTTTCTTAATTTATGGAACATATAATCTTCACTATTTTTTTTTATATGTTATGTTAAAGATAGTTTTAGAAAACAAATATGTATTAGTTCTTAAATATCCATAAAATAAGTAACAAATTACAAATATTAAAATTTATGGTATTATTCATCTATATCCATCTTAGCTGTCACCGTCATACTTGGTGTTGGGTTCATGATTTGCTTCTCAGAGATTCCAAAACCCATATGGTCACATACTCACATATCTAAGACACCACAACCAGCCCTAACCACAAATATCATTCATGGTTCAAGGCTTGGAGTTTTTTTTTTTTTTTCTTTTTCTTATCTATCAAATTAAACTCAATTTTAACCGAAGCTGCAAAATTTTATAATAAGATCCCCCAAGTTTCAACTCCTTTTTGTAAAACCCAAAGAAAAAGGAAAATTATAGACCGTCCGATTTATATAACCATTCTGCGATTAGTGGGGCTTCGTTTAATCTGATTATTGCTCTTCTTCGTTGCCGTGAAATCGTAAAGATTCCAACTTTTCTTGTATTGGAGAAGATGGCAGACAACGGAGACGAGGCTAGGGTTTCTACATCCAACGATGCTTCTCAAACGAGACAAAGGTTACATCTTTTTCCCTCTTTCAAAACCAATTCCAATTTCATCTGATGCAATTTTCGTAAAATCAATGAGTTTGTTTTTTATTAAATTTGGATTTGTATACTAATTTTTGCAGGAGAAAGAGAAAGTGGGACCAGCCAGCGGAGCAGCTAGTTGCAGCTGGAGTTGTGATTCCTCGATTAGGCAATGCTCTCAATGTTCAAACTCTGCCTCCTCAACCACTTCCTAAACTCATTCAAGTAATTCCACTTTCTCTTTTCAATGTTCAAGAAAATCTCTAGGAGGTTTAGTTAGGTGTCTTATAGAGAGGATTATTGTTTAGTTTAGACCGAATTTTAAAGAACAATGACTATTTTAGAGCTCAAACTCTTTCTCTGAACGGTAGCTATTTGCATAAGATGATATGTTACTCATGTTTGTTTATTTTCAATCATGTCTTTGGTAATTTTGGTATCCGTTGCACAAGACTGCACTCTTCTCTGAGTTTATTCACGTTGTTTATTTGAATTATGTCCTGGTTATAGGTAGTTTTTTTTCTCTCGTTATTATTAGTTTGACTATGTGGTTGGTACAGTTTTTTATTTGTTAATGTATGTGATTCCACAAGCTCCTCAAATATGATCCACTGTGTATGTGACTTCAACATCATTGCATGTGTGTGTGCTGAACGAGTTTTTTTTTTTTTTTTGTGTGGTTATTTCTCTTTCTTTTATCCTGTAATTCAAACATGGCGATTCATTGTTTTTTTTGTGGCATGTCCATCTAGGATGAGTTGGCCATAGCTAGAGAAATCGTTATCAATGATGCTGAGGCTTCTCTCAGGCACAAGCTTACTAAACGCTCTACTCAAGAAGATGTAAGCATGTGTGGTTTTCTGTGCATAATATAAGATACAATTGTTCCTTTTCGTGTTTTCAGTGTCTATTCGTCTTGCAGATTCAGAGGTCTACTGGTGCTGTGGTGATTACTAGGTTTGTTCAACATCTAACGCACAGAGTTTTTATTTTCTACAATAAATCTTTTCTATATTGGATTGATGAATTTTCTTCTTGCAGGGGCAAATATCGTCCTCCCAATGCACTTCCTGATGGTGAAAAGCCATTATATCTTCACATATCTGCTGCTGCCCATGTATGTTATCCTTTTTAGCTCAACAGAGCATTAGTATTGGGGACTTTAAAGGACATGATGATTAGTGCTTTACTGTGTTACTAAGTTGCTTCTGCTTTCTTTTTTATTGGAGATTTATTGGTAATAGTGGTGTATATATGATGGTCGAGATGTTAATATGATAAATGCCATGCATGCGATGGCAAGTAGTAAAAAGTTTATGGCTCCAAAGACCTCTCTATTACCGTATTCTAAGAAGCTTTACATGACCTCTGAGCTTTGAGAATTTGACCTGTTTTTTTTTATGTTTGTCATCACAACTGCAGTTAAAAGAGACTACAGAGCGAATTTTAGCAGTTGATCGTGCAGCAGCTATGATTGAGGAGATGATGAAACAGAAAACAAACTCACATGTTGGGTTGGTTGGTTCTCAGACGGTCAAGGTAGATAGTTTAGTGTGACACTTCTTTTTTTGTTACTTACAAAATCCGGGCAGCAATAAAACTGAACTATGTTTGCAGATGCTGAACACATGCGTTTATTTGGGTTTCGAAGCTGACCCATCATCTAATGTTGCTGCTCGTATTCGTGGGCCTAATGTCAGTCTTCTTACAATCTCTTACCCTTTGTTATTTCTAACTCACGTCAGAAGAACTGAATCTACAGTCTGATATAAGATAGTTCAGCACCTTTCCTTATTTTATAACTTAAAACTGTATAAAAGTATCAGTAGAAGTACTTGTCTATTGGTCTAGGTTATCATCTTTGTTTTACTTTTGCATTATTTTTTGTCACTTCATGAAATCGAGAGGTTCTAATGTTGAAGCTCTCTCCGACATCTCCGTGCAACCGGGAGAGAACGTTTTTTGTGTTTTGGTGGTTGCCTTTCGTACATGCAGGATCAGTATATAAATCACATTATGAATGAAACAGGAGCAACCGTTGTACTAAGAGGGCGTGGTTCTGGGAGCCTTGAGAATCTACCTAGTGAAGGTAATTTTTGCCTCATTTGTGTTTGCCTTTGTCAACTTGAAGGTGACATCTGGGCCACATTAGTAATTTAATGCACCTTCCTGTTTTTTACGTATTATTGCAGGAGCACAGCAACCATTGCATCTATTATTGTCTAGCACCAATCCTAAGAGCATTGAGGATGCAAAACGTTTAGCTGAGAATCTCATGGATACAATCAGTGTAGAATTCGGGGCTTCAAGGTTCATTTATCTTCCAGAATATCTTCAAAATGTTGCCATAGATAATAGGCTTTCTCCCTGTTTTCATCATTACTTTTAGTTTTATATGGTTGTCTTACAAAAACTTGTAGGGTTTCCTCAAGCAAGGTGTATGGTGCTGTACCACCACCACAGCAACTGCTTGCTGGAGCTCCAAATTCCGGAGATGCGCAAAAGCCAAATTTGAGTTCAGCATATGGTTTGATGACATCGCCACCTATCATATCAACGCCAAATGCTGTTAATCCGTTTCCAGTTCCTCCAGCAACAACTCTGTATCCTCACTTTCCAGTGTTGCAGCCTCCAGGGATCTCAAATGGTGGGCACTTGCGACCGAGTCCAGTCAGTTACCTACAACCTGTGGCTGCTGGAACTAGCTACAGTGGGTATGCCGGAATATACCCTCAAGCCACTCCACTTCAACAAGTTGCTCAAGTCCTTCAGCAATCTGTTTCTCCAGTTATCTCCACTGTGCCCCCTACTTTGTTGACAGCTGCGTCCTTATCAATGCCAAGTGATATTTCAAGTAAGGAAAAGGAAAGGCGTCCACCCCAAAAGCGAAAGTTTCAGGAGCTACCTGCTGATTGTAAAGTCCCGGCAAAATCCAAAGAGGTAACATAACTTTTTCTGGAATGGCAATGGTTTTAGAGAGAAGCGTATGGGTCGATGCCCATGGTATCTTCCATAACTAAGTCACCTTGTGTTTGCGAGTGTTGGGTACTTGTAAGCAATAAGCATTAGTTAACACTTAACAGTGAACAGATCAGGTAAGTGTTTTACATGGGAAGATGGTTTAGATATTTTGGGTTTAGGGTTCAAAATATTGTCTTCTGGTAGTTTAAAGGTTAAGTAGTATGAAGTGTAGCACGTATCTTCATCAGCATTTCATAAAACCTGATTACGATTGTCATGGAATCTGATTCGGATCATGAAAGTCCATGGTTTCTAATGCATTATATTAGTTTTAGTGTAATAATTTTATCCTATGCTGACTTTTTCCCTTACTATTCCAGGTATTTTTCTGAACTTCTAAGAAGCTAACTAGCTGATTCTGGACCCGTGGGCCTTTGGTTTGATTGTTTCACAGGGTATTCTTGATATTGGAGGCACCGTGTCTTTGCAGTCACTCTTGCTTTTGGCGATCAGAATCAGAACTTATACGTTTAAAACGTCCTTCAAAAGTCGTGACATGTTTCCCTTGTGTGCATGATTACGTGCAGGCCATTTTTTGCATAACCCCAATACCCCATGTATCTACGCTTGAGTACCTTGCATTTAGGTTGACATTAGGCGTGTATCTATGGTAGAATAGGCTCATCCTCCATAAAGTTATCGCTTGATTTGAACTTCTTTTTAATCTCCAATCAGTGTTTCATTGCACATAAAGTTTGAGAAAATGAACATGAAGTCAGTCAACCACTGTATACATATCTTAGGCGGTCTTTGGAACCAGCTAGATCGTATGATTTTTATCTTGTGTCTTTAAGGAGAGCTTATCTGATGGAAGATGTTATTTTAGTTCACTTAGGTCCTGAATAATGAGCTGGTAAAGGTTTAGCTTTAGGGGACATCTTTGTCCTGGATTTGAAAGCAAGCTTTACTCTCTATGCTTTTAAGGAATACAATCTCTTTTGTAATTTTGCATGATCACCTATTTATCTGCCAATACAATTATCTAACTGTTGTAGTGTAAATGACAATTTAATATTCACTATTATTTGTTGTAGCAGTCAGAGTTAGCAGTGGCAGGTGAAGTTGCTCTAAAGAATACAGTTGAGGCAACAGCAAATGAAGTGCGATCACTGCCTTCGCCACGATCCATGATGCCTCCTCCTCCACCAAAGACCATCCCACCACGACCTCCTAGGGCTGTGTCTCCTCCATCATCGAGAGCCATGCCTCCTCCACCACCGCGATTTACACCACCAAAACAACCTCAAGCTCCTAGATTACAGGACGACCAAATTACTATAAAGAAACCAAATCCAGTTCCAGGTATAAGACTATAATCAACCCACTCGGTTCTTGTGATTTAATTTAACCATAACCTAGCATCAGACTTATGTAATCACGCCCTGATGTTGCAGATACTTTGATAAAACTGATGGAGTATGGAGATGATGAAGACGAAGATGATGAGGAGTAACTGATCTGGGCTAACAATATGCCTGGCTATGTTTGTAAGAATAGAATGTTAGGGTCTTGTTTATTTGGCCTGAAATAAAGACATTAGCTTACACTTGTCTTGCAAGCAACTACTATGGCTGATTTTGTGATACCCATTTTGTTGTACCTCTTACCATTAATACATGATAGAGAAGTCTTTCCCAAGTTTACCATTAAAACAAGCTATTAGATCTTTTTTAACTTTTATTTCACTAAAACATATTCATGAAATGATGAATATAAATATTACAAAGGTCAAATAAATTCAATACAAAACATGTGTATACCAATAACATAACAGTTTACTCATCTGATGATTTCACTTCACCTTCTATAAGAATTGTTCAAGGATTTAGAAGAACCAGCAAAGAGATCCAACAAAAGCTTCTCAAGATCATCAGTACTGTACTTAATATACCTCTCACTCACACTGTTCTTGTGTCTACTGTAAAACGTCCAGTACGCTTGAATCACCCACATTGACGCCTTTGTCCTCACATCTTCTCTCAGCCTCTCATCAGAGATTAACCAACCCGTTTGCGCCTTGTACACTTCCTCAAACGCAGAGTTGAATCCTTGAAACCGCTCCCTAGGACGCAAGCCTCTTGAACCAGAACCTGATCCTGAGCCCGAGTCATCCTTGAGGAACGACAGGACAGGGAGCCAGGTGGAGCGTTCGTACTCCGTTGCTTGCTGCTGAAACTTCCATGTGTGTTTTCTGTTCCACTTGTCGCCAAAGATATGTTTCAGCTCGGACTTTAACACTTTCCTTGTCATGTAGTGTATGTTGTTCAGTAAAAAGATGTGTCTCAGAGAGACGTCTCTGTACAGCTTCGCTTTCTCTTCAAGGTTAGCTTCAAGAACAGATGTTATGGAGTAGAAATGCTTAGTCATCGCCAAGAACTTCTCCGGTGAAGAAGAGTTTTCGTAAGTAGACTCTTCTTCAACCACCACAGGGTTGATAACATCCGGAGATGGAGGTATAGTGAGATCATCTACATCATCATGCTCCATGAGAAGCGAGTCCAGCGTTTGGCTAAAGTCTGTCAACGCCATGAGGTAGTTCATCACATAGTTAGTAAGCGGGTGAACAGCTCCTCCAGGGAAAGGATGTGAAGAAACATCAGAAGCTATAGCACTTTTGAACTCAAGAAACGTCGCTCTCGCGCAGTCACCAAGCCTCCTCATCACTTCTCTGTACTCTCCTCTGACCGAGTCACCGTGATTACCTGAGAAGAGTGCATCAATCTCTGGTAAAAGCTCTGAAGCTAGCTCATACATTTCGAGAATCCTAAGCAACTTCTCGGGTTGTCGTGGACCGAGAGACACCGCTTCACCGAAGTTGAGCAGCTGCATCACAGGAGCCTTCACTGTATCAACAAAACAGGTCAGAACATCCCCAAAGATCTGATTATCCAGAGACTTCTCGCTAACGAGATACATCTGCACAATGTTTCTCATCACAAGAACCCATTTCTTGATGTTAGTATTCAATGTAGCCCAATCCATCTTCAACACATCTTCAATACTCAACTTCTCAACCTCATGGTCATAAAGAAACTCATCAAGAGCCTCTTTCCTAACCATAGTACACACCTGGAGACACTCACGGTCATACCCTGAAGCAACCATAGTGTTGGCAATGCTCCTAAGATCTGATATAACCTCAGGTCTAACCATTATCTCCTCTGAGTTTCTCCTACTGCTTCCTACAACCAAATCCTCAGTGGAAGCAGCTCCAAAAGAGTCTTCTTCCACGACATGATCAGACCTAAAGGAAGCATGTTCAAGCTCAAATGGTAACCTATTCTCCACAAGAAGATGCTTAAACTCATCCTCTAACCTCGCCATTGCTGTCTGAAGAACATCATGCCCTTTCCTCAGAGACACCTCATCTGCTTCCTCTAACCGATCTATCAACACTCTCAGCTCATTCACAGAATCTAAAAACTCATTCCCTGCTTCTGAACCCAAGTCCCAAATCATGGTTTCATCTACCTCACGTGTCATGATCTTCTCACAGACAATATCAAGTCTTGTCTCAATCTCATCTTCCTCGTATCTATCATCAGAGACTAACACTAAACGAGACAGCTCTGTTAAGAGGTTCCCTAAAACGTTCTTAGCGTTTCTAGTGAGGCTCTTGCCAGATCTAAGCTCATTAACAAGATAGTTTGCAGAAGCAATCAACTTCTCTTCTCTATCTACCTCAAACTCTCCCATCTTAGATTTAAGCTTAAAGCCCTAAAAAGGAATAATCTTTAAAACCCTAATTCTCAGAGGAGCATTCAAAGACCTTGAAAATGGAAGAAAAGTTGAAACTTTGAAGTGGGAAGTTAGCAAAAAAGTATTTTTTCACTTAAAGGAGAGATCTTTAAGACAAATATGGATGAGAGAGTGAGTTTGGTAGTAAAGAACAGATTGTGTAAGAAGAAGGAACACAAATTTTCCTGGAAAGTCTGTGTCTTTTTCTCTCTTCACAATTTGCCCTTTATCTTTTGTGACTTTTGGACTGATTTAATAAAACGAAGACCTCCACAACACAGGAAGAAGATTCAACTGAAGAAATGTCGACGCTGTTATTTTATTTCTATTATTATTGTTTTACTATTGTTATTTTTCATCATATTATTGTTTTTGTCCACAATCAGTTAAATTAATAGAGAGTATTTTGATTACTATATCTAAATATCTAATTACTTTGTTAAATACAACACTCGGCTTGTAAGCAAGTGCACACAAAAAAAAAAACACAACTTGCATTATTATCAAATAATAATATGCTAGTTTATATTAGATGTTGAGATGATTTATGTAATCATGCCGATTTTAATGCGTGATAATGAAAAACCTAGTGGTGTAATAGTTAGCCAAAAAAAACATTAGTGGTGTAATTATGTGTAATCGTGCAGATTTTAATGAAAATAGTCAAGTTGATGACCGGAATATATATATTTTTTTTATCAAACGAGGACCGGAATATTTATATAGGCAAAACAACCAATTAATTTCGTGGTCCAAGGGTCAAGGAAGACTCAAGGCTACTCTCACAACTTGATGCAGATTTCTCATTAGAAAAAACAACTAGACGATTATTAATAACATGGCAGAAATTAAAGATTGTTACAAATTATTTTAAGTTTGTGATTGATGTTTATACGTGATATAGTTGTCAGAAGTTTGGTTTAACAGTGTAAAACTCTTATTTTGAACCTGTAAAACTTCTATTAGTAATAAAAATTATATACGCTTGGTTATCAAAAACTTGATCATATACAGGGGCGGAGGCAGCTGTAGGAGTGGGGGGTCACCTGACCCCTATAGATTTCTGTCAAAAAAAAATTTACTTGCATTTTGAAACAATTTTTTTGGTAAAATGGTGTAAAATTAGTATTTTGACCCCAATAATATTTTTGAAAACGTGACTTGACTCCATGATTTTTTTTCAAAAACTGTTTAAAGTGATTTTACTTTGGTCAAAGCCCAAAGATACCCAATAATTATCTAAACATTATTTTCATTTATTTACCCTAATTACTTTCTACTATCTTTTACAACTGTCCAACACTTTTATCTACTAAAAATCGATGTTTTAACATAAACATTTTTCTTTACATCTTTTATCATACTTTTATTTCTTTTATCCATTTATAGATCACAAGTTTAAAGTTACTGCTTATTTTCTAAAAAAATTAAGAATGTGAACAGTTTTATTAGATGTTTGGGATATATGTCAAAAACAAATTTGGTCATATATTTATATATCACTTTACCTATTCAAAACTTATATTATTTAATAAATTAAAATAATCTTAATATTTAATTAATATTAATTAATATTTTTTTTTGTAAATAAATTGACCCCGGTCAATTTTTTTGCTGGCTCCGCCACTGATCATATATATATTTATATTTTTTTGACATCAAACTTGTCATATATAACACAACAGGTTTCTTATCTTATTTATATTTATGTTAAATTTTGTATAGGAGCGTTCCTAACTATACACAAAAAAGAAAACTAATCATTCAACAACTATTCAAACGATTAGTATAAGATTAGTTGGTTTAGTTTTGAAATGGCATATAAAAATATGGTAATGAACTACTGATCAATGTTTACCCTAAAATATTGAATTAGTATCTAATTTAAGAGTTTTTATAAGAAAGCAATTACTGTAAATTATACTTAAGGATTGACCCACGTATGGAAACTTAGGTATATGTTGATTTTGTGGATATGTATAAACTTGAGGAGAAAGAAATGTTTACTGAAACTTTACCTTATTACACACGTATAAGATATTCAAGTATTTTAGTCAAAAGCAAAAATATCCTGGTTGACTTTTGTAAGTCAAGTCTATAAAAATATATGTAGTACTTTAATTTTTTTTAATACACTGAATAAAAAATATTAGGAGATATAGAAAGAGATTATTTGCTCCCACACCCTTTTTGGGGTCGATATTAGAGAAATGCTCTTGATGGGACTGATCTCTTTTTTATGACCAAATTGCCCTTTCTCTCTCTTTCATGCATGTGGGTTTGTCAGATTTTTTTTTCTTTTTCGTTAGAAACACTCTCTCTCTTTCTCTCATTCTTTCTTCAATTATATTTGTTCTCTTCTCTTCTCTTTTTCTTTCTTTTCTCCCTGTAATTTAATTGAATGTTGAAAGAAAATTTGTTATTTTTTTTAATCTACTTTGATTTTTAAAAAAGAAAGTTAAAAATCTATCAGTCTGTTAACACCTCCGATACGTATATTTGTTAACAACTAACACCTCTGTTAACATCGGGAACATGTTTTTGTTAACAGCTAAAATATCTGTTAACATCTACATTATTTATTAACAGCTAACATCTACGTTACCATCTTTGGTACATCTATTTGTTAACATCTAATATCTTTGTTAACATCTACAATATTTATTAACAGCTAATAATTCGGGTACATATATTCGTTAACATCTAACAGTTCTGTTAACAAATATTATAGATGTTAACTATCGATAATAGTGATTATTTCCGGCGATTTTAAAGAGATGTCAATAAATTTAATTTTATTATGGGGTGCTCTGTTTAGTATGTCAATTGATTTTTAATGTAAGAAAAAAATATCTAGAAGAAAAAATGTGAAAATAAAGAAACTATAATAAAAGATAAAGAGAGAAATTGAAAGAGAGAGAATGTTGCTTCAAAAGAAAGAGACATTGTCATAAGGTTAGCAGTGTCCAACCAAAGTGAAATTGTATAAAACTTTACAATTATGTCAACTCATGTATAAATTACTAATATAAGATCCAAATATGGGTATTTCCCTAAATCTCCCATATAGAAATTGGTAAAATAGTAAAGGAAAAGTAACAACAAATCAGCACAATTTTAATAGACTGCCATTACCCTTAACTATATCATCACTTCATAGAATAATTTCGTATTTGAATCGAAACTTTGAACGATTGCTGCATGTGCTAAACCACGGACCTACTGATAATTGTTATTTCGATAGTTATAAGATTCTTAATCTTCGGCACATGATATACTTAAAAGTTCATGATTAAAAAACGTTCATGATTAATCTTATTCATATAGTGGTGGATCAAACATAAATGATTCATCCCAGATGTAGAACCTACTTTCCGAATTTGTACATATGGTAATGGTGGCAGTAAAACATCGCTTCTCTGCTAACCATTCTTTTTTTTCTTTACTTGGATAACTTATTATTGATATGAAAAGAAAGAAACTACGACACAACCACATCGGATCGCTAGGTTTGTAATGTTTTTTTTTTGTATTATATGAAATTATTTCTGCATTTATTTCCGGAAAATCTTTATCAAAAATGGCCACAAAGTACATGTGATAGCGGTATAGTTATAAGGTTATTGTGGACAGGAAGCATGCACATGGTATGTAATTACGAAGATACCAACCGTATCTTACTAAGCCCTGATAGCCCATTGTAGACCCAAACTTGACTGATATTCTCAACTAACGTAAGAACTTCGTGCCTGTGTTCAGTTCAATCCGTTTGAACAACCGAACAAACCAAACCCATACTAGAAAGGTAATAAAAGCTGGTCCATGATGATTTAAAATGTAAACAAATCATTCCCTAATTATGCCCCAGACACATCATTCTTTAAATGTAAACAAATGAATCAAGAAACAAAAAAAAACAAATGTATAACCTACGAAATAGGAAAGAAAATCTTGATTATTTTCCATTCTACTCAAACCAGTAAAGGGTCACTTCTCTCTGATCAAATTGACCTTTGGCTCAATCCTAGAATCTTGGTTTGGTTTTCTACATTGACTCAGGTCGATATGTTAAACATGTCCCGAAAGAAATTAGACGACCTTGGCTACCGCATACTAACTAAACAAGAACGAATGTATAGACCATCGCTTTCACGTATAAAATCTGAAATCAAGAGTTAGATAAAAATTATATTTATAGACCAAATTTGTAAGAAATTTGTACAACAATGTGGTAAATATCATAGAAACTGTCCCAGAGAGACCATAATGGTCACAAGAAGAGAGTTGGATTTACAACAATGTGCTTTAAGGGATGTGTCACGTCACGTCCACCAGCGTGCTTAACGAACTCTGCAGGCGTTAGAAAGCTTCCGTGGCACACACACACAATCCTCACCTCATGCCCTTTCCTGTACCGATACAGAAACCCATCGATTTTTCTCCCGTTGGGTCCATCTCCTGTTGTTGACACGCATGGCATTTCTTCTATGATGTTTCTAGCAGCCGGGGCAGTTTGAGCACTTGTTTCTACGGACTTGTTTGTTGTTGCTTCAAACACACAAAAGTAAATGTCTCAATAACACAACTCCAAATCACAAGACCCACACACACAAACATAAAATAATAATAATAATGTCACAAAGTCTATATGATTCAAGATTTTGGTTGCCCTAATGATCAAGAACGAAAGAACTAAACAAGACAACAAACCGCACACAAACCTCAGCATGAAAATAAAGTGGTACCTTGAAGAGGAGGAGTGTCGAGTTCGGACAAGCCAGAGGAACCACTTCCAGAAGATCCTTCATCTACGATCTTGTCAGCTTTGTGTTTCTCCCTCACGTGTCTCTGCTTCTCTGACCTCTTTCTCTTAGCCTCGAGCCTCCTCAAGCTTTGCAACTCCTTCCTCTTCCTTAACTCCTCCGTCTCAACCGGCAACGAGCAAGTCCTATCCAGCGCCGATCTATCAACGTTGACCAAGAACTCAGGAACCGAAGGTGACCGCACGAGCAGCCTATTATTCGCAAGTGGGTCCACACCGAACCTACCGTTGAGAGAAAGCCCTAAGTCTAGCTCAATCTCTACCTCTCCTTCTTGAACCGACAGTTTCTGTTTCTTGGACATGAAACTCCTCAACGGATCTCGTCGGGGAATATTCCGGTAGATCTCTCCGTTTTCACTTTTCACAACTTCCGACATATGCAAATAATTTTTTTTTTATAAAAAAAAGTAATTCAAATACCAAGAAAAGAGCTAATATCAATTTTCGAAGATTCTTTTTTACTTATAAAATTCCCACAAAAATTATTAAACCGAAAATTTCTCCGAAAAATCTCGTACGAACACTAGAAATTACGGAAAGATATTTAAATCCAAGAAAAAATAAGAGCCTGAGAGAATTTAGATGGATAGACAAAAGAGAGAGCGAGATTGCAACCTGACAAGCTGTGTTGTCTATTTGAGAGAAATTTAATACCAAAAGTACCCTTTGTTTGGTGCATTAACGACACGTGGAATCATGGAAGACTTCTGTCAGGACTTTTAGAGCACTTACGTGGAACGTGGTTTTCCCAAAAAAATCAAACAATCGATAAACAAAGACCAGACTCGTCGCAGAAACCGTACACATGTCATAGTATTAGTGGTAGTCACGTCGTCAGATGCAAATATGCAATGTAGCAGCATCAAATCGTCACGTGTCGGTGTATCCATCTATTTTCTCGCTTCAACACGTGTCGCGTTAGTTTCTCTCTTTTCTCTTTGGACAACTTATTTATAAGAATTTACTTGGTTGTGATTTAATCAAAGAGCAATAGCATTTGGATTTCACTACTTAATTATGTTACCAATTATAAGAATATATCATTAGAAAGTTATTGTAACGCCTCGATCACCCACGGTTAATGGGCCATCCACGTCTGTTCTCTCAGTCTGTGGATCCCATCCTGTTCCAACGGTCAATCCGTTAATTTTCTAAGGCTTTAGAGTCATGTTTACTGACCCTGCAATCACCACATGATTTTTCCCCGTGCTTTGGCCTCACTTACACGGTATCGCAAATCACTTTCCGATAGGTCACCCATCATTTGACTACTCCAGCTCAAACACGCTTAACTCTGGAGTTCTCTCTGGATGTGCTTCCGAAAAGGTAAGTGCACTTTGGTGTCATAGGTAGCCAAATCAATTCTCTTAAGTCTTTCCATATATCACAACTCAGGATGTTACCGTTATACTAATATTTTTATTAAGTAATAGATTTTGAAATTAATTTTCTATGTTCTTCAAAATTTTGAATAAAATATTATAATTGTTTTGCAAAATTTTAGTTAGAGAGGTCATTCATAATTAGACCCTTCTTCAAAAAAAAAGAAAAAAAAAGTCAGTTATATTAATAGTAAGAGTGACGGTCAACAAAAACAAAAATAATGTTTCAAATAAATCCATGTTCTAAAAAAAATTTGATTTAAAAAGATACATATTTTACATTTTTAATGTATTTATTAATGTTAAATTATAATTTTTTTAAAAATAATTATATTTTTAAAAATTCTATTGGTTAAAAGTTTTAGGAAATAATTAATTATAAAAACTAGTGTATTGGTAATTTAAATTTAATAAACTCTTTTAATAAGTGTGAAAATAGTAAAATATACTCAGTAAAATATTTTGAAATAGATGGAGGGAGTAGTAAGAGTGAGAATAGATGAGATGCAGGGCACTCTTAACCGAACTTGCCAAAATCTATAGGCTTATTCCTCTGTGTGTTTGACACGTTTGCAATCCAGACATTCACACACTTGTCCTCCTCTCATTGCATTACAACAGCTAAGCAAAGCAATCAAACCAAAATTATAAAGTGCACAGACAAAAAAGTCTGGAAAGCGATTTATTCCGACAGAAAAGGATAGTCAAATAATCATTTATGATATAATATGAATTCTAAAAAACTTTGTTACGTGTAATTTAGTACTACATCATAAGATACATCGTTAGTGGTATGTTTAATTGAAACAAGTAATATGTATATTTATAGACTAATTATTTTGGTAAGCCCAACAAATACCAAGAAAAGAAAAGACAAATACTAATGTTTATAATATGTTTTCATGTCAAGCAAACACAAACTACTGATTAATTAATCAAAGAGAGATTTAGGTAGTCTAATTACTCATTAATTAATCAAAGAGAGAAGAGTAAAAGACTTTGCCAGTTTCTGGTCCACCAAGCTTCGAGTATTTTTTATTTGGTTTGGATCGAGCAATGGGCTTCTGTTTGTTAATAACTAAAATCAATCAGATTGGCCATTTTATTCCCTCTCTCTCTTAACTACTCCGAGTTTTGAAATAAGGCTCTCGAGACATGCAACAAATACACTACTAAACAGAAGATCATCACACAATACTACTTTTAGTTAACAACCATTATCAAAGTTATAAGAAAATTAATGAGAACCCAAGTCCTCAAAGTTTGCAAGGGTGCATAAGGCGACACTTTATCCGATTTAACCCGAATCAAAACCCAAAAATAAAGTATTTTAATTTTCCAAACCATTTTGAAATAAAGAAACAAACAAATCCATCTCACACTTCTTCAAACACAAACCAATCTCCACACCACCAGACTCATCCCTCCTCTCAGACATAGAAAACGCCTCGCTCCGGTCAATAGACACAGTCTCACAACTAACCGGTTTTCCCCACCCAAAATCCGACTCATACAACCCAAACCGGTTCGACCCAACAACAGACGTAGTCTGCGTACCCGGTTCAACACTCTTCGTCCCATCAATATACAACTCGCAAACCCCTTCAATATTTCCCGAACCAACAACAACTCTAACCGAACCGCTTATAATCTCAACCGCTTTAACAAAACCATCTCCTCCCGACACAACTCCCGCTCTATGTCCGAAACACCCTGTCGGAAACACACAGTTCCCAAAGTAACTCTCTGGAACCGGTTCACCCAACCGGTTCCTGAAATCAGCTGCGTACATAAACCGAACCGGTCTATCCACGTCACCACCTCCACGCGTTTTCACCAAACACGACCAAAGGTAAGCGCTGGTGACGACAAACGTTGACAGGTGAAGGTTAGACCGAGCTGACTCGTGTTTAGCTTGCTCCTTTAGTTTGTCAACATTCTCCCGAGTCAACTCGAGAGTAATCCTGATAATCTCTGGACTAATCTCCACAACAGGAGGCAGCTTAAGTGATCTCACACAGTTCTTGTCTCCCAAAAAGTTTATGATTCTTGCGTCAAGAGAAGCGGGAACGTTGATGATGGTACGGTCTAGAAACGGAGTTATGTCCCCTATGGTTCCGTGTTTACATAAGTGGGCCCATGATTTTACGAACATAGACATTGACTTACCATCCATAGCTGAGTGATGAGCTGTTAAACCAATGGAGAAGCCTTGGTTCTGGAGGAAGAGCGTTACTTGGAGAGAAAGAAGAGAGAGAGAGTTAAGCTCTGGTACTAAAGAACGTATCTCTGTCTCGGGACGTGGCTCTTTAGATGAGAGAAATGAGAAGTCAGCGTCGGTCTCGGCGATTGTTAACGTGACGTGGTTGTCTGGGAGGACGAGGATGTGTGGTTTTGGGTCTTGTGGGTCCCATGTGAGGCGGCCTGCGAGGGGGAGGTAGTGGGTGAGGACGGTGGAGAGGGAGTGTTGGAGGTTGGGGAGGATTAGAGAGTGGAAGGAGTTTGGGTTGTGGAGTTTGTAGA